GTTAAAGAGCAAATTGTAACTTTAAAGAGTAAGCTAATCCAAGCCATGGCATTTTCAATCAGTATATATGCATGTGAAACTTGGATAATGATTAAGGAAGACCTTAGAAATACTGATGCATTTGACTTATTGTGTTGGCAAAAAATTATTCAAAGTACCATGGACTGCCAGAACAAGCAAATCTGTCTTAGAAGAAATACAACCAGAAAGCTTTTAAAGTGAGGATTGTGAGATTTCATCTCTCATGCTTTGGACATATTGTCAGGAGGAACCAGTCTCTGGAGAAGTACATCATGCTTGGTGGAGTGGAGGATCAATGAAAAAGAGGAAAACTCCCAATAAGATGGATTGACACAGTGGTAGCAAAAATGGGTTCAAACATAGCAACACTTGTGAGGATGACAGTATTTCCTTCTGTTGTCCTTAGAGTATGTTTTCTTTTGTGCATATGGTCATAATGAGTTGGAATGGACTCAGTAGCATCTCACAGGAATTTGCGGTTTTTGAAATAGCTCACATATTGATAAAGTCAAATTTTAAAGTTGTAGAGAGAACTTGGATTAAGCACTACATATAACACACTTACAACAGTGGATATAGTTTATTATTATATTTCTCTATGGCTTTTGATAAAAATAACGATGAAGTGGTCACAACCAAGAACTCATTAAATCAGACTTTACATATTAGTCCTCTGGTCATCCTAAAGTAGAGTCAGGGTTGAAAAGAATTCCTTTAGATTCTTGCTAAGTATAAAGGAGTATTCCATCAAAGTGGTCTATTATTATCATTAATATTCAATCTTGACATTACTCATATAAAAATTTATTAATATTTACGTCACACCTCATTTTTAGAGGTTTGAAATATTAGCTTTGTGACTTGAATTTATATGCCCTTTGTGTACGATCCTATTCCTCCATACTCTTTTTCTCCAAAAGGAAATACCTATCATAAATTTGATTTGTATATATTTCTCTCCATATTTTTACATTATTAGTATTAACTTATGAATCCATATTCAGTTTTTTAAAAAATGTACTTAAATACTATGGAATTATACTATAGTATTGTCCTGAAAATATTGTCTTTTACTAAAACATTGTGTTTAAATTGCCTCTGAGAAGTACATACATCTATTTCAAAGCTTTTAAATCGTGTATAATATTACCACAGAAGGATTATTCTAGGTGTCAACTTGTTAAAATTTTTGCTCCACTTTCCATATTACACAATTGAGAATTCCCATATTATAGTTATTTGAGGTGTAGAGTTAATGCATGACCAAATTTACTATTAATTGCCAATATTTGTCTACCAATAGAAAGTTAGACATAACTACATGTTCTTATTTTCATGGCATGGAATCACAAACATCTGTGAAACTTGTCTGGTAATTGTCCTTCTGTGATAGTGTCAGATGGAAATTACCATCTTGTAAATGAAACATTGGATTCCTGGTGTAGTGATGTTAGATAAGGCAACAACATATAACTGTTGAGGTCAGCAGTACAAATCCAACAGTTACTCCTATGAAGCCTACATAGGGGTGCTATCAGTCTGAAACAACTTGATGACACTTTAAAACAATGTAGGAAATACTATTTCTATTTCTCTAATTTCTTAATGATTCAGAAAAATATATTACTATTCCTAGAGTATTCATGCTATAAAGATCCCACTAAACATTTGACCCAGTTTTTAATTCACAGATGAACTCACCGAACTGTAAGAGAAATCATCAATGCTTCAGTGTTCATTCATTCATCTGAAAAGAATCATAATCATTCAGCTCTGGTTGTGGAGACAGAATCTTGGAATACGAATCAGGAGAGAAATGTCCAAATCCCAAGTATTTAGCATATTAAACCTGGAGTGCATGCATAACTCTCAACTTCTCTCATCTAGAAAAGAGTAATATTTACTACAATGATTCATGTGGCAGCTAACAACAGGTTGGTACTTAAATACCTGGACGTTGCTTTTAATCAGAATTTGAATCAGTACAAAAGCAGCCGGTTTATTGTTGAAAAATAGTAAAATTTGCTTTTCCCTATTTTTCTGCTTTTCCTTTTTGGTTTTCATTTTAATGAAAATCTCCATAATAGTTCTGAAAACAATTAAGAATTATTGTTGTTGTTAAGTGCCATCGAGTCGTTTCGGTTCTGACCCATAGTGACCCTTTATAGGGTTTCTGAGGAGCAGCTGGTGAGTTTGAACTGCAGACCTTGCAGTTTAAACAGCTTTGCAGTCTGGAGCATTAACCCATAGCACCACACTATTAAATAAGTCCCATAGAAAGTCCTTACTAGAGACAGATTCATTCCCTATTTTACTTTGTCTTCAGTCTTACATGACATCCTTGAAGAGATGAAAGCTCAAGCAGGAGAGCAGTCAATGTGGACATCATGGAGCCTACACTGAAATAGGAAATCAAGAAGGAGTCTATTCAATATATACAGACTCTAGTTGTTTCATTTTGAATATTCAATATCAATTTA